TTAAATTTCATTTAATTTAGTATTCGATTTTCACAGTCTAGGTACACGCTAACTTGTATGCAATTCAAAAATTTATATACACGTCTTGACAGAGTAGGTCAGCTGTGTGCATGCCGTTGGTGTTTACGCTAATAAATAAATAAATTCTTTATTGCCCAACAGATATAACATCCAAAGATAGGACAAAATATAACAATAGATTTTTAAGAGTAAATATTAATAAGTACTAAAATAAATACTAATAACAAAATATATATATATATATAAAGCTAAAAAAAAAGTGAAAATAAAAATTATAAATTAAATTGACCCTGCGCAAAACATGTTCAATTCAAGTTTTTCAAAGAAAAAAAATGTATATTACAATTCAGAAATAAGTACTAAGATGGTAATAAATAATAATAACAAAATGAATATAAAGCTTAAAGCAAAAATTAAAATTAAAAATTGAGGGTGACTATGCGCAAAACATGTGCAAGTTTTTCAAAAAATATATCACAATTCAAACATAAAATATTAACATTTTGGCACATAATATATATTGGTGATTTCATTAGTAGGTTAGTCCTGGGAATAGGAAGAGAAAAACGTGTTGAATGTCCGTGCATTTTGTCGTGTTACTAAAAAGTAAAGTCCTTCTAGTAGAATAGAACAATCAATTATATTATGAATTATTTTATAAATTGTAGAAATTGACATTAATTTTCTTCTATTTTCAAGGGATTGTATATTATATCCATTACGCAACACATTTTCATCAAATCCGTGGGGGGGATAGATACCCCTAACCTTGTAATTTAAAAACTTTAAAAATTTGCGTTGCACCCTTTCAATGCTGTTCTTCTGCAACTCTGTCTTCGGATACCAAATCAAAGAAGCATATTCCAACTTGGAACGAACTAATGAAAAGTACAGTGACTTTAAGGCAGCTTCGGTTCTAAACTTTTGACAATTGCGAAATAAAAATCCTAACATTTTATTTGCAGATTTAGTAATAGTATTAACATGTACACTAAAAGTTAGCTCCGAATCAAATATAACACCTAGATCTTTAGTTTGATCACACCTGACTAGTTCTTCATTATTAATGGTATAATTAAAATTTGTTGTGTTGACTTTTCTGCTAAAACTTATAGCTTTGCATTTTCGTACGTTCAGAAACAATTTATTGCGCTTACACCAATCATATAAATTATTTAATTGTTCTTGAAGGAATAAACAATCATGTATATCAGAAATTTCAAGAAATACTTTTAAATCATCTGCAAATAACAATTTGGAACAAGCGATATGATCAGTGACATCATTGATGAAATACAAGAAAAGTAGAGGACCCATATTGGACCCTTGAGGAACCCCTGAGGTAGCATAAAATAAATTTGATGAAAACCCATTATAAGAAACAAATTGTTGTCGACAAGATAAGTTTGAGTGGAAGAATGTTTTCATTGCTGATGAAAATCCAAATTGATCTAACTTGTTAACGATTACTTTTGGGTCGATTTTATCAAAAGCTTTTTCGAAATCTGTTAAAACTACATCTACTTGACCACAATTATCTAAAGTCTCATGTAAAAACTGAGAAAAAGATGATAAATTAGAAACAGTAGAACGATTTTCCATAAAACCATGCTGATGTACCGATATTAAACATTTAGTTAGAGGGTAAATTTTATTATAAATACAAATTTCGAAAATCTTAGCAAAATTATTTAAAACTGAAATAGGGCGATAGTTATTAAATAGAGATGGATCTCCTGACTTGAGAATTGGACATACACGTGCGATTTTAAATTTATCTGGAAATATAGAAGTTTTTAATGACATATTAAAAATAAACTTAAGGGGTTTTATAAAAATATTTCTACAATCTTTAATTAAAAAACTGGGTATACCATCCTCACCGGAGGTGATTTTAGCGGCTAGTTTGTTGATTGCAAAAATAATATCTTCGTCACTAAAACTTTCGATATTTATACTTGGAAGATTATTTAAGTAGCTAGGTATGGATTGAAATTTTTTTGTGGCGGCGAAGCCGCCACCCTACGAGAAGTCATTGCTTCTTTTTCTTGTTCTCACGACATTATTATTATTTGGTCATGTATGTGAAATTTGCTTCTAGGGTTTATAAAATACTACTGTGCTTCACGGCGTAAATGAAAACAAACAAGACGCATTCACACCAACACCACCCACCACAGCAATATGACGTTTCGCATGTATATAATTTTTTGATTTGTGTACACTTTAGCGTGTACCTAGCAACAGCGTTTGATTTTAGACAAAGCACCAAATATTAAAAATTCATCTTATTACGGAAACGGTAAAAAATTGTAAATATGCATGGTAATATATTTTCCTCTAAATTCAAGACAATTTTAAAACACCTATAACTTAGGACCTGAACTAAAATTCAATATGGACGTAGCTAAATTTTATATTTTTCATGAAATCGTAATTTGTGCACAGTTTAAAAAGTTCGCAACATTGATTATTAAAATTTGTCAAGAATATTCAAAAAAATATGTAGAATGCTGTAAAGTATTTTGAACTGCATCTGTGACTATCATTTGTTTATATTTTTTAATAGTATTTAATAATTAGAAGGACAAATTTTACATTTTACTATAAGCTGCCAAAGTTTCACTAAAATCCATCCAGTTCTGTAAATAATTGTAAACCTCTGTTTTGGTCACGTAAAATACACTGGAATGGTGGCCTTAAGTGGTTAATCTATATATCTTTATATTGCTCTTGCAACAAAATAAAGTTAGTAATGTCGTAAACCACCTTAAACCGACTCTGACTCTTTGCCTTTACAGCTGTCGCTTCGATACCGGAGGACAGAGACAAATGCAATGTTTATCGTTGCGCGGCGTTTGAGTCATAGATGAAGAAAATTCACATTTTCTAGACGGTCGAGAATGTACTGGTGCAGAGCTGGCTTTGTAGCACGAGTTTGTCGATAGACATTAAGTTTTAATTTAAGTGTTGTATAGAAAAGATAAATTGTAAAAAATAAATTATAATTGTGAGTTATAATAGTGCCTAAGTTTTCAATAAATAAGCAAATAAATTATGAATAAACTGTTTTTAATAAACAAACTATTTTTAAATTAAACAATCGTTACAGTAATAATATTTTTTTCATTTTTGATTAAGTTAACATTATGTTATGTAGTGCATTGAATTACTAATAAATTTAGCTTTTAAATGAAGTGTCACACTTTACAATACGTAACAGTTTTTTATCCCATTAGAGGGCGTTAAAATAAAAAGTAACGCAATGAACACTCATAAAATTACATAAAATTACATTTTTGGTGATGTCGTGTCATACTTGGTAATTTTCTTAGTTTAAATTATATTGGTTAGGTTTACGGAGGGAGAGGAATGACATATGATAGTTGAGGATACTGTTGTAATAAAAATCGATCTGTTTTTGCGTTTCTTTAAAAAAATCTACTTCAAGATATTTTAAGATACAGACGGTCGCTATTCTTAATGAATCACCCTGTATATGAATGCACAAGATATCGACTAACCTCAAAAAGGGCAGAGAGTTTAATTTTGTTGAATTTTGACGCAGCAATACTTCACTTAAAATATTTAAAAAAATATTTTTTAACTGTTCTTTTTAGATTTTAAATGTTTTTTTTTTTATTCTAAAAAAAATTTATAATTTAAATTGTTTTTTATTTAATATTTGTGTTTTAAATTCTTAGCAATTGAAATATTTAATTGATATTTTCATTAGGCCAATACCGATATCGCACTCTACATATCGGCCATTACCGATATGGCTGATATACCAATATCGATTTTGGTATCGGTCGATATCTAAAAATAAGACATAATTTTCAACACTATTTATATAATTGAGAAGACACTGCATGAGTAACACTTTCCATTATTATTGTTACCATTCAGATGACAGCTATCCACCTAATATAATGTTCAAAGGCTGAAATTTAATAAAACTTGCTCCTCAGATATTGATTATTAAATTAGAAAATAATTAAAAAGTATGAGAAGAAATATGGTTGCATCTGCCAAAGATCGAACATAGAACATTTAAATCGCGTCCACGGCACCTCTACCAATTGGACCATCGAGGCACATATCTACGACAGTTACAGCCAAATTTGTAGATTTAAAATCATCAGATTCCTACCGATTGTACCGCTCTTAATTTTACAAGTTTCTATTCGCGATTTAAATTAATTTTCGCGCGGCTGTCATTTTTCACCTATAACTAGGATGTTTGTTTATTAACATGTGTTTGTTTTTGGCGGGATTTTGTATTTGTGATTTGTTAACTATTTTTAGAAAATATTCTCATTATAATAGTGTTTTTGAGTTTCATTGGGGTCTATTCTGTAAAAATTCCTTTATATTTAACGGCCTTTAAAAATATTTTCTTCTTTAATTCGGTCACTATTTAAACGGATCTTTAAAATACATTAGAGGACTATCTTAAAGAAATCTGTTTAAATAATGATAGAAGTAAATTAACGAATACGAACATATTTTTATAGGCCGCCAATATTTTTAAAGGCCGTTAAATATAAAGGAAATGTTACAGAATAGACCCCATTTAGTGTTAATTTAAGTTTAGTTTTCGTGTTCTCGTCATAAATATAATACATATTTATCATGTGTATGACTTAATTTGTTGCAAATATTCATCTATTGGTTGCTACACGAACATCTAGAAATATTTACTAAACCCAGGACATGATTTATTATGTGGTTTAAAGGACATTTCAGGTACCAAACGTTTATTATTAATGAACTTATTTAAAAATCTTATTATATTATATATTATATTTATATTATAAACTTAAAGTCAATTGTGTAGTACTTTGTATACATGTAAATGGTAATAAAACCATCACAAGTCCGATTGCAGTTTGATTCTAAACAAAATTTTGCAAAATCTCAATAATGTGAATTTATAGATATCGATTTATGGTAAGAAACAAAATTTTACGACTTACGCATTTTTAATATAAACACTATCACACACTATAAGAAATAAACAAATTTAAAGCTGATAAGTAAGAGAAACTTCGAATTATAACCGATACAAATTAAAATATAAACAGTGAACACGAACGCCAATGTTGCCAAATGTTGAATTGATTTTAAAACAAAATTAATAAATGAACTGAAATTTAAAAAAAAATCAATATAATAAATTAGTTTTATAAAAAAATATTTAAATAAATATTGAGTATGATTACATATTATTAGACACAAATTGTGCTACTTATAAAAAGGTCTTATCCACTTTTTCAAGGGCTAAAAATCGGACGGCGTAACGAAATTTCGCTACTTCTACTAGAATAAATTCTAAGATAGTTTATTATTCTACGTGTGTTACGTTTTCGTGTACGGGCCGCCGTAAAGGTACAAAAATAGGTTTAGATTCTTAAAGCCACCCATACAACATCGTATTTAGTTTAATAATAATAATAATAATTATTATTATTATTATTATTTTGGTAAAATAAAGAGTGATTTAAATTAGTCCACGACCGACAGTGGCAGAGTCATGTCCGTGATAACTACGCGCAGCTCTGAAATAAATGTTTACTGTATGATGAGCAAGCGTCCAGGACAGGTTTAAGATTTTTGCTTATTGTCCTGAGTAAAAAAATGTCCAGTTTCGTTCCGGTTTTATAGTCTTATCTAATTTTTCCCAGAATTTAAACATCATTCAAAAGTAACTTAAAGATATTTTTAGACAAGGCATTTTCTAATATTCAACAAAATGATGGACTGATGATGGATCACGTAACTAATAAATTGCCGACTGGTGCAATCCTGATTTTTATCTGATGAAAATTATTTAAGGTTTAAATGGACCCGCATTTTTTTCGTTTCGCCAACGCGAGATGGCTCTAGAAGCAATACGTTCATATTTTATGAATATAGAAAACTATTAACCTCTCTACTTTATTAAAAACTGTAAAAAAAACTTTCGCTAATACTCACTAGATGCTGCATGGAAATAGAGCGTTCTCATTATGCACTATTGCCATATCTACACCAGTTATTTTATGTGTTTTTGATCTGTGCCTAGTATTGTTCTTGAGTGACTTATTGTTTTATATATACTATTTCTCATTGAGTTTTTGTGTTTATTATTAAAAATGCCCCTTGTACTCAAGAAAAAGTCAAAAAGAGGCTTACATTTAAAAAAGTAAGTATATAGGATTGAATTACTACATATTTAATATTTATATTAAAAACCCTGATTTCTATCACAATCGAAATAGATAAGTAGAATTATTGAAGATTAAAAAAATTGTTGATTTTTCTATAACACCTGCAAGAAAAGTACAATAACTTCACGTAAAATTAGGTTACGTTAGAAGTTCATAAAATAAGTTTTTTTTTTTGGTAAATTATCTTATTTAAATAAACATTGATTTATTTATAATTATGCAATCCACTACTTTAAAAAAAAACAGGTCAAAGAAGAAGGATAAAAGTGCGTTGCCACATATTTTTTTCCTAAATACTTAGGTGTTATTTATTTTCATAGTAGTACCTACCTTTGCAAATAAACCAATTCAAATATTATTTTAAACATAAGACATCTATTGATTTTACTTTTTTATTTGAAAACAATGTTAGTTTATTTTAAATAGTATTAAAGTGATAAATGTAACAAAGAGGGTGTTTGTACAGGGTCTTTAATTGGAAATAAAGAATTTGGCGAAAATTTGACAACGCGGACCGATTTCCGATCATTCACTGAAATGTTGCACGTTGCACAGAAGGTACAAAACAAAGATATCTAAACAGGTAGCTGGACAATAAACTTTTAAAAAAATAGGATATAGATTTTGCATTTCCCTTCCAACCGTATGGTTTCTAATGGGTGTTTAAGTTAATATATTGTTTTCGTTTTTTAATAATTTTACAAAATATTCATATTATTAAAATTGACACAGAGGCATAACTTTATTATTTTATATTTTGTTACAGGGTGTGCGATTCCCGATAATGAAATTGAGACATACCTTTCTTCGATGAAACTTTTTTAGTAATTCTGATATCTTATTAGCTGGACAATAAACAGTTATATTATAGATTTTGTCAAACATAAAATATATCTTTTTTTCTAGGTAATTTTGATTAGAGAATATGATACAAACATAATTTTTGTGTGAAACTGTTCTACTTTTGTTTAAACTTAATAATTTTAACCGTTTTTGAGAAACACGCAATTGAACACTTCAAAGTCTGAAAGTGTTTTAAAATAATTAAAAAATAACAATAAAATATTTCATAAACAAATAAAACGTCTTTGGAATGATCAGTCAATTTTATATTTTTATTAATTTTTAGCACCTCAATGTTGCTGAATAAATTCCAAATTCTAGTGCAGTAATGGTCAAAATTAAAAAAAAAACAGGAAATTATCCTCTTTTTAATAAAAAAAAATAACAAACTCAAAGTGAAATGTTCTTAGTGGTATTTTTCTACTTTACGACTTTTCCAATTTATTTTAAGGAAAGACTTCGGTTTTAATTAGGACCAAAAATTTCGGAAAGAAAAGCTATGAGCCAATATCATCATTAGGAATAGCATATGTGGGCAACAAAATATAAAATAATAAATTCAATTACATTCCTTGTATAATTGCCAATTTTGTGAAATCATTACAAATAAAAGGAAAAAGTATTTTTTTACCACATTTTATTGAGGCATCTTTGGTCCAATCCTCATATTCTGATCCTCATAACTTACGATTACTTTATGTTCCAATAGATATGAGTAACACAGAAACTGGAGTGGATCCTCACCCGCAATGGAATCTGATATCGTCTTAGAAGGTTTCCTCCAAAGTGAATCTATGCACAAGCTCCAGTATATTACTTTTATTGGTGATGGTGATTCAAGCGTTCACGTGAAAATTTTGAAAAATGTACCTTATTGCAGGAAAATTAAAAAAATAGAATGTGCGAATCATTTGACCAAAAATTTAACCAAGCATCTACACGGAATAGCGAAAGAGTTATTGGCAAATAAAAAACTATTGCCCACTACCCGAATTAATCATATAGGTAAAACCTGCAGAAAACTAATTACAATACATGCTAAAAAAGATAATCCATCTTCAGAAGATTTGAAAACTGATATCCAGAATGTGGTGGAATATGTATTTGGGAATCACGACCATTGAAAAATAGATTACTGTCTTAAGCATGGACAAGTAAGCATACAAAATGGTTTAAAACAAGCCCCTACTGAGACACGATTACGAATAGTTCGTATATTAGGAAATTTTGCTTAACATTCTTTCAGCCTTATTAAAGATATGACCAGTAATAGATGCGAGCAATTTATGCAAAAAAAAGTTGCTAAGACTCCATCGAATACTCTCAAACCGTTGATAAATAAAAGAAGCAACGTTAAGTTAAAAAAATGTAAAAGGAGTCTGTTTGCAACAGAAGTACAAACTTCAAACCCTAAAAAAGATTATGGAATACATTGTCAAACACCTAACCTTCGCAAAGAAGTAATCAAAACACTAATAGACCAACAAGTAGGACTATTAAACGTCTCCATTGTTGAAGCTTACAGAATTGAACAGTTTACAAGAGGTCATAGTAATAACCCAAAATGGTTCGAGGAGAGACAATCCCGTCTCACAGCTTCTACTTTTGGAGACTATACATCGGAAAATTGGTTGAGACAATTCTGTACATTTTTTGTACATAATTAATACAGTTGGAATATGAAAATATCAACGAAGATATAGCAGGAGAAGCATATACATCTTTAACCAAAAATATTGAGACTCCTTGTGGAATATTCGTCTGCAAAGAAAAAGGATACGGGTTTTTAGGAACATCGCCAGACGGTCTGGTTGGTGATGACAAAATTATTGAAATTGAATGTCCCTACTCCGCCCAGGAATATACACCATTAGAAGCAGCAAGTTCTATTAATTTATGTTGTTACTTAACTGAAGATAGATGTAATATGTATTTAAAAAAGAATTAAAAATATTTTTATCAAGTGCAAGGACAACTTTATATTTCTATTGTGATTTTGTGATTTGGACGCCTAAAGGACTACACATACAAACGATTCAATATGATAAAAAGTTCACAAAGGCAATGATTAACAAGATAAGCACATTTTTTTATGATCATTATGGAGTAGAACTTGTGGATAGTAGACGTTCACGAAATTATTCAAAGTGAAATAAATATCTCAGCAGGCAATTATCAAGTCACACAAGCTTTTACAAAATCTGACACCAGAGACAAATCAATAAAAATGTGAATGAAAAAATCTGCTACAACTTAAAAATAATATTCTGGCACCAATTTTAGGAGCATAAGTCCAGTTACGGCAAACGACGATTTAATCATCCCTTCTTCCAAAGGGAAGGCAGAACTGTTATTTTTCAAAATGTTTTATCCAAGTTAATACTTAATCCTCATAATAACAAGAAGTTGTTAACTACTATTTCACAAGTTTTTTTTTTGATGTATTAAACCCTCTTAAAAATCTCTTATAGCCCTCAAAAAAAAATGTTATCATGAGTAAGTCCTAATTTTTTTTTATAACTTTATATTTGGTTTATTTATTTATCCATTTGAATTCCTCCCCCTAGTTACAAAGCTGCCTAATGAATTTTACCTAAATTATTTTTATTAACGCTTTGTAATTAATACATAAGTACAATCGTGTACATTTAAAATTCGTAATAAAAAAAAACAAAACCAACCTATAACTTAATCAACACAAATAAATCAAAAATGATTTTTAATAAAATTTAAAACTCTTTATTCCCCTTTCTTATTTATATGCCGTTCCTTTGTCAAATTATAATTTGTAATTATAAACAAACAAAAATGAATAAATAACTAAATATAAATCACAAATTTTAGATTTTAATCAAATATAAAATTTTGAATTTCCCTTCTTGGTTTCATTGTTTATCTTATACCTAAAGCGATGATATAATTTGTAGATGTAATAAACTTCTTGAAATTATAAATTATAACGGCAAACCGGCAACGTTGTGCAGAGACTTCACCAACAATCCTGCTACCCGTGTTTAATTTGGTAA